TTTGAATGCTTCATGTGGCAGATCAAAGGGGAGATCAAGCAACTTACATCGAGTATCGAGTCGCATTCGCTGAGGTATTCATCGCCCAAGTTATCCTTCGGATCGAACTCACTATCGCTATGGAATGTCGTCACTCTGGCCTTACTTCGAAACTAAAAGAAAAAAAAAACGAAATAAACATGACAGTAGGAAAACCTACGCAGGAAGGAAGAAGGCGAAGAAGCAGCGCGACTCACTAGGGAAGTGATTCCCTGCAGGACGGAATTACGACAGTCTATATTCGGATTTCGAGCATGATCCTTACAATCGTGTCTCAGGACATATTCGTAATCATCCATACCAGTTGGTAAAGTGACAAATCTCTAAAGAAACTCGTCAAGACGACTACACGAAAGACAACACCTCGCTCGCTAGCAGACGACCAGGAATAAACCTCTGATAGACGAGAAATGTCCATTAAAACGATCAATACCAATAAACAATAAACAACGACAAATTTAAGCTAATTTCTTATGAGATCATCGCTAAACAGGCTTCGGTAGATCGTGATTGTAGGAGACAAAATATGCGAAGAAAGCCGATCTCGGTATGAAATCGATACAAACATGTGTATACTAGCGTATACTCATGTGTATGTATGCGTATACGTATATACACACGTGTATACACAACAATTTTAGACAAATAAACTCTCCAAAGCAAAGTGAAAGAATTCCTAGAAGAATTAAGCAGCCAGTAGGTCTCAACGTGTAGCATATGACAGCCATCCGCGTGTATTACCGTTTCCCAATCTTCGTCTCAGGACCATCCTCGGGCGCATTTCGCCGTTTAACATACTGCTACTTAGATATTGATTAGAACCCCTATCGAACTTTAGTAAGGTAGTTTCCTCCTAACTCTGACTCTAATTAGATAAGCCCCCGAGACCAGTTATCCATTAATTTTGGTAGAGATTGGTTAAGCCATTCGAGACGGCAGCATAATCGACATAGCACACGAAGCGCGATTTTCGTCACTTATTAAGGGTTTTTTCTTAATTTTGGGGAAAAACTTTAGGTTCTTTTTGTTACTCTGATAAGTTATAGTTTCCTCTACTCTCTTATATCATTTTTGGGCATATATGACTATTACATGAGAAGAAAAGAGCGCATCTCCGCCTGATCTACCACATGAAGCATTCAAACGGAACATCAAAGTACCGTTAAAGTGATCAAAGATTGTCGAATACTATATAAATTACAATCAGTTCAGCTTCTACAAAGTCAGAAATTGTCATGATGTGATTACCAAGATATCCTTGTCAACTGTGGTAGTTGTTTTTTTTGTCGGGTCGAATCCGATAGTAAGAACAAGTCGAGGGTTTATAATCATTTGGTGTAGAAATTCCTTAGTTGGAATGAAGACGAACTGCTCGATATCATGGATGCTACTTGATATCTGACTCGACGCTTCCAAACTACAAAAAAAAATGATACGAAGCAATAATTTGTTAAAACTCAAATCGCATTTCAGGAAAAGCTACAAGAACCCTTACCCTACTGTCAATTCAAAGATGACTACTTTGATTTTCATTTCAAGTGTTTTCTTAAGACCACAGCTCAGATTTGAATATGCCTGGCAATCATTTTTGAGCCACGCACGTCAATGGTCTGTCAATGAGGGCTGACTTATAGAGCCCGATACTCGTGTTTCGATCTTGCGATCTCGTCAGTCGCGCAGTTAACCTTTCTTTGAAGACTATTTCGTCATTCGCTCCATTGAAGAGGAGATGCGCCAGTGCTTTGGTTGCTGAATAAACAGTCGATATACGGAGAATTCACCCGAGAAGGAACCAAAAGCAAATGCTATTCCACGTTTGCACGTCCAGATTAAACTTTCCGAAAGCGTCTGTGACACGAAGTGATGCCGAAAGCCAAGAAGTGAAAACATCTTGGTTTCCCTTTTGTTCATTATAGACGTGTCACAAGCATCTCCATTGTGTACAGAGGAAGAGAACATACGGAAGAATCCTTACTGAGCAACAGACAAACATTTTCGATAGCTACGAAGTAGTAGAAGCTCGTCAGATTAGATACATAAGGAAACCGGTTCTATCCTCACCAGGACGATAAGTTTATTGAAAAATGTGTCCCGTTCATCCTGTTCTTCATCTCTAATGAAATAAGCGTAACTACAAAACCTTGCTCACCTCATAAAGGGCTGGTTCAAGAGACCGGTAGGAGGAATTGAACTACTGCAGAATACTCTAACGCGCCAGCTTGATTATGACCGATTAACCGATTATATGGCCGTCTATGGGAGTCCCAAAATTTCATATTTACCTCTAGGTTATAACGTCTATTGCATGAGCTGGGAAACGATATATCTAATGTCTTGTAAGGTATGAGAAATCGAATACGTTAGTAAAACCGGTAGATATTTTCGCGTCGTACGATAGGACATCTAGCTGGAATAATAAAAATATTTCAACTAATACCCGTTGCCTGCTTATCGAGAAAAAATGTTGAAAAATACGTTTTTCACAAAGGGCTGAATATGGGTTTAGGTAGGAGCAAAGTACCAAGGAATGATAAAGGTTATAAAACTGACGTTAGCAGGATTAAACACAAGCTTTGAAGAGCCTGGAAAAATGAAAAATGGAAAATTTATAGAAAAGACATGAACGTATTGAGAAAAAATCCTAATTACAAGACCAAAACCTAGCTAAGACTGAGCCAAAAACAAAAAACAGAGATCAACTAGAGTACTTCATGAGGGATGTACTACAGGATAAGATTTTGAGACGCAAGATTTGCGAAAGGAAGGTGAAGCATATAGCCTTAAGCAGCAGTAACAATCAGTAAGTAAGGTACTATAACGTAGTCTAAGAGGAGATTTGCAAGCAAAAAGCTCAACAATAGCCCTCATACACCGACACTTTGCACTGAATGGATGGGCTTTTTCAAATTTGGCTTTGTTTTGCCATAAATTGTTCACTAACAGAAATGTAAAGACACGAGCTTGAGGTGAGTGGCGATCTGTACTCACCGAAACATTCCTTAGAAGGGAGGTTGCACAAAAGGTTAGGCAAAAGTAGGAGTACTGGAATAGCGGATAACAGGTGAGTTCCAGAGATGATAATCGCGAGTGCAGAGTTCAGCTAAAGCTCCTAGTTCTGCCCACATCTCAGCACTGTTATGATTTCATTCACATCGTATACATCATGGAAAAAGAATATGCATTTAATAAAACTTAGAACATCATGTTCTCAAGCCACACTTCACGTCGCGATCACTTTCACAGTATTCACCTTAATTTGATTAGACTTGATACTTTGCCATGACATGCCAAAAGGCAAATACTAGTATACCAATAGTATAGCTGTAATCGAGGATCACCATCACGCCTTTTAGGAACATTTTTGTGCAAAGCAATAAGTTGATTGTTGATTGCGCAAAATATTCAAGAGCATATGAAACACTGACATTATTTATGCATAAATAGAATATTTTAGAGAATAGAAACGCGGTTTAGACCGCGTAAAACATTATGAATCCACTGATTATCTCTGTAATTACACATCAGATACCTTCCACATGATTTACTGTTTTCTTGATAATCACACAAGAGGTTCCATAATCTCAACAGAAATATCCTGTACCTGAACCCCTCTTCCACAGAAAGCAGTCTTTGCAAATTAGCTGCTTTAACTTAGTCTCTCTCTCTCTCTCTCTCTCTCTCTCTCATCGATAGATACCACAAGCACATAGTTTACGTGGGTGAGAAATATTGGTAAGGACAGGACGTTTCTGAGGAACGGACGAATTTTGAATGCCCCACTCACGCCTAACGAAACGAACATCTCCGAATGCTCCATTTACGTCTATTTAGGACTAAAGTCAACATGAACGTCCTACACCGGAGTTGAGCCGGAGGAAACGAGCTGCTTGAGGAGCGTTAACAACATTAAGGACATAGTGAATAAAACGAAGGACATCCGACTCCGTGCCCACCTTCTCGACTTGACGCTTATCACTGCCCTAACGTATGGGACAGAAACATGGTCGCTACGTAAGCAGGATGAAAGATCTTCTGGCGTTATTAAACGCGCAGTCAACTGGTCGATGCTAGGAGTATCCCGCATCTCGCAAATAAGAGAAAGGGTCCAAAATTCTGACCTACGTCATCGAGAGAAGATCAGCGATGCCATTCTAAACGCTAGGCTATCGAAAATGAGAGGGGGGACGGACACGTAAAGCGCTTTAGCCACAACCGATAGACAAGAGCCCTTACAGACTGGTTGCCTCGGGATGTCAAGGGCTTCACACGAAGACCACCAACCTCATAGTCCAATTTCTTAACAGAAAGCCTAGAAAACAGATATGATGCTCAACGGATCCCTAACGCGAGGAGGACCCACTAGGTTACTCTTGCACGCCATAGGGAAATGGAAGTGTTGATGGCGCTCGCTCGAGTCACTCGACGATCAACGGGATGACAAATGATACAAGTGAAGGACAGAAAGTCAACCTGAGGTATAGCTCGATCTCACCACAACGACGACCAATCACAAGGAAATCCCTGCTGCTCATTTTTGAAGTTCTAGTATTTGTCGGAAAAGTTTTGGAGGATATTTGCCCAGATGTTCTGGAAACCTTTGTGGAGGATTCCAAAAATCAAAGCCGGCTTTCACTTCAAACTTCCATCCGTGACGCTTTTTTGCCTCATGCGCGCCAACTGAACTGTTTTGTTTGACTTTGATTATTTCAGCTAGATATCCTATCGTACGGACGCGAAAATATCTACCGGTTCTGCTAACGTTTCGTTCCCTCATGCCTTGCAATAGATTAGATATACCGTATCCCAGCTCATGCAACAGACGTTATAACCTTAAGGTAAATTATGGAATTTTGAGACTCCCATAGACGATCATATAATCAAAAATGATTTTATTTGACCGCCACTTGCAGTGTTATGATGTTACAATATACCCAACATGCAGAGTGCTGTGCAAAAAGGTTTACGTCAGCCGGGATTCGAACCCAGATCTCACTCTTTCCGCGAGCTTATGCTGACCGTTGCAGCACCGATACGCTCCTGGAAAGAGTAAGATCTGGGTTCGAATCCCGGTTGACGCAAACCTTTTTGCACAGCACTCTACATGTTGAGTATATTGTAACATCATAGCACTGGAAAAAGGCGGTCAAATAAAACCATTTCTGATTGATAATTGATACCCAATATCTGTCAGCAAAGTGGGTTCAATGTCAATAATGGAGGCCCCGCCACCGTAGACGGTTGGCTGCTGACAGATAACACATTGTAGCTTAGGAAGAGTGCCGTGCAAAGCGAGCGTCGGTGGTGCAACGGTTAGCATGCGCTCCCCGCAAAGAGTGAGTTCGGGATTCGAACCCCGGCTGACGCAGACCTTTTTGTACAGCACTCTACATGTTGGGCCATATAATCGATCATAATCAAGCTGGCGCGTTAGAGTATTCTCTAGTATTTCAACTTCTCCTACCGGTCTCTTAAACCAGCCCTTTCAAAGCAACTTTTTGTAGCTAACCCTGTTTTGTTAGAATTGAAGAACGGGATGAATGAGACCCAATATTCAATGGACTTACCGTCTTGGTGAGGAGAGGACCCTTTCCCTATGAATCCAATCCGACGAGCTCCCACTATTTCGTAGCTATCGAGAATGTCTGTCTGTCGTTCAGTGAGAAGGATTCTTCCGTATGCTCTCTTCCTGTGTACACAATGGAGACTTCACAAGCACCGCGTTTTCCCTGCAATGAATAGAAGGGAAATCATAATGCTATCATTACTTGACTTTGGGCATCTTTTCGTCTCTTAGGCTTTACCAGAAAGATTAATCTGGACGTTCAAAAAGGGGTTGGAATTTGCTTTCAATTGCTCTCGGGTGGATTTTTCGTAGACCAACTGTTCACTCAGCAATCCACGCACTTATCCATCTCCTCTTAAATGGCGTAGATGACAAAATAGTCATCTCCGTATGGACACTAGGGTAAGGGCCGGTAATGAAGGACCAGATTGCCCCTCCAACCATAGAGACGATGGCAAACCTTTGTGTTGATCTCTAACTTATGACAGATGCTTTACTTTATACAAAATAGCTTGTCGACAACCTAAAAACTGCACAGCTAGGACTCTGCTTCAAGAGGAGCACTCGGTGTTGAATCGACAAACCATGCGTAAAGGACAAAGGATAAAGCTCTCGGCGTAGATCAATCCCTGGTAGATACGCCATGCACTCGTCCTCAATTCTTAACCTCGTTTGAGGTGATTGAAGGCATATCTGGCCTTCAGGATAACTCGCGGTGACCTCCCGCTGTACCGAATTAGTGCTGCTTATCCTTCCAGCTAGGTCCGGGAGCAATCTGGTACCAATTAACCGACTCCGGAGGAATTGATAGCTATGAGCCATCAACTCGAGATCGAACCATCGACCTTGTTCACGATGCAAGGCCCCTCTAACCACTACGCCACATGCGCTTAATAATTACTGGGTGGTGTAGTGGGTAGTGATGTGGTGAATCATGAAGCATGGCGATAAGCAAAGGGATGGTTCAATCCGCTCGCCAACATCTCCTGTAGTCAATCATGTCATACATGTTTATTATTATTTCCTTTTATTGAGGAAAAAACTCACCTTTTTCATCTGAAAAAGAAATCTTATTTAGTAATAGATCTTTCTGATTCAACTGACAGACAAGATTGCTAAGTAGATCCTAGTTTCAATAGTTTCAATTGTTGATAGTCAGTTTTGTAGTGTTATTTTGAAACAAATTATGAAAGTAGATCATAATTTTTCGATTTATTAAGATAAAAATTTAAAAAAATTTGGTAAATCAAAAAAGTTTCCTGCTAAAAATCGAGAATTGAAACCAGAATAACAGTTGGTACTGAATAGTCTTTCGTTTCAACTGACGCGCCAAAAGCTACCGTAGTGTCGGCGTCCTATAACAAAAACCTGCACATCTAACTACGACGAAGACCTGCACATCTAACGAAGAATTTTCTAGCAAGTCGATTGAAAATTTTAGGCCCAATCTAGTCAACTGTCCGTTCGTCCGGCCGACAGAGCCAGATGAGGTGGGTATTTAATAGCTCTTGTGCATTTATTCGTGGATTTTCAGGATTTTCCTTTTGTCTTTTTTTGTTAAATTATTATGTATACCGTCTATTTAACCTTTTGCGGACGATAGCATAGGCGATTCCACGGATGGCGCGTGATTTTCGTTTTTATAATGAGGTTTATTTCTTCTATTTAGGGGTAAAGCTTTAGGTTTTTTTGTAATGCTGATACTACGTAATTTTCTCTATAAGATCGTATGCTTTTTGTGCATGTATAGCTGCTATTTGAGAGGGAAATTTCATGTGAAAAACGGTAGTCTTTTTTTCGCTTGTACAGGGTTTTGTTAAGACCTTCCTGAAAACCAAATTGAGCTTTGAAATTGCCGAGATTTGTACTGCCATAGAAGTATTGGTGTAGTTCAATGAAATACCATCTACAGATCCTAGTCGAGCATCTAGAGAACTCCGAGTATACGTTTTATTTTCGCTGTTACAGCGCTCTAAGAATGTTCTATCAGAGACTCAGCGCAGTATCGAAATTTTAGTAAGAGACAGCTTTTTTTAAAGGAAATCTTGAAGGTCAGAATAACCCTCGTCGTCTGAAAAATAAATTGACTCAGTATTTTCTTCGATAAGCAAACGCGAGCTCGCCATCAGCAGTATTTGCTGAATAAAATAATATAGCATAATTCGATAATGATGAGTGATATGCAAAACCTGAGCTCTCTGGTGGCGCAGTAGGTTAGCACGCGTCGCGCCGTCAAAAATGGTGAGATGCTAGTTCAATTCCCCACTGTGGTTCAAAGTTTTTCATACCACTCAACGTATTAATGTATTAACGTAGTAATGCTAAATGCGCAATAAAATGGGTTTTTTTGAGTAATTGAAGGAGAGGAAAGACATTTTTTTAAGCAATTGCTTGTGACTTGATCGCTTGCGCTTCAAATGTCCACTCTTGGTGATCAGTTTGCATCGAGAAACTTTTTAGCGTTGATAACATACGTCTTTTACATCCCACAGGAATAAATTTGAGCCATGCATCTTAGTGTGTCTTGACACATGTGCCCTATTCATTCAACAGTGTACTTAGTTTTGATTGAACGATTGAGCTCAAGTCCGTTTTAGCGCAGTGCCTTATTTCTTTGCTGGTAGTTTGGAAGCGTTAAGACAAATATCAAATAGCATCCCGGGCAGGCTTCAATGGCCCTGAAAGCCTTACATAAGTTTGATACAGCTAGGTCTAAGCTTTGTATAAGGTATGGTCACCATCGAAGAACAGGCGTGCGAGATACGTAATGTGTTCTAACGACGATTGATAAATGACAGCCATTTTTGACTGGGTTCCTCCAGGTGATATGCTCAACGGGACGACTATGGGCCCAGTGCTTTGATGTTCTCACAGAAAGTCCAAGACAAGATATGGCTCTTCTATAGCGCATTTTTAAGACGTTCTAAAACAAATCAAAGTTCTGAGAATTGCCGAGATTTGTACTACCGAATAAGTATTAGTACAGTTTAATGAAATGATATTCACAGACCCTAGTCGTGCAAACAGAGCACCTTGAGTATAGGACATAATTTTTTTTTGCGCTGCTACAGCACACGAAAAAGGTTCTATCAGAAACCAAGCGCAGTATTGAGATTTTCGAGATTTGAACTTTTCAATAAAATAATATGTCACAATTAGATAATGTTGAGTGATATGCAGAACTCGTGATCCAATGGTGCAATAGGTTAGCGCGCGTCCCTAGAAAGGGTGGGGTAGGGGTCCGTGTCCCACCCGAGGTTCGAAGTTTTTCATTTCACTTAACATTGTCAGATATATGTTTATAACATTATTCTACTGATAGAAGCGGTTAGACAAAAAGGATCTTGTCGATTATTTAAAGGAGGAGAAATATATCTTTTCGAATTATTGTATGCGACTTGGGTTTCGCTTTTAATGTTCATGCCAAGTGGACATATTGCATTGGCAAAGTTTTAGTTAATAGTATAAGTCAATATAACATATAAACAACATAGTATAGTATAAAAAAACATAGTATAAATAGTATAGTAACAACATGGTATAGTAGAGTAATAGTAACAACATAGTATAAACATATAAACAACATAGTATAACAAGTTAATAGTATACGTCTTATACATGAAATGAATGAAGGAAGAACGTGAGAAGTGAGCCATGCATCCTGTTTGGTCTTAATACGTGTGCTTCATTATTTCAACAATGGAATGAGAAGATAAAACTGACGTTCGTTCAAACGTAGTATCACGTTTTTTTCTCGTAGTCTGAAAGCGTCAAGACAAAATGAAGTAGTGTTCGGGGCAGGCTTCGATGTATTTGAAGGCGTTGTATGGGCTTTACGTAGCATGGTCAAAATTCCATTTTATGCACGCTATTATCATCATCAGAGATCAGGTGTGCCGGGCACACAATGCGTTTTAAGGACAATCGAGAGACGTGGGCCAGTATCGACAGGAGACCTCGGGGTGGTATGCGCCGCATTAGGAAGACCAAGGACCCAGTGGTGTGATGTCTTCACTAAAAACCTAGAAAGGTTTTCCAATTTCGGAATTTACGAGATTTGCGCTATTGAAAGAATATCCGTGTAGCTAAATGAAAGGCAACGACAAACTCGAGCCTTAGAATCAAAGCAGTGCTTATGTGAAACGTATTTATATTCGTTGCTCCGGCGTACTAAGAAGGCCTTTTTGAGAAGTAAATAGGGCGTTGAAGTCGGCTGGGTTTGAGTATTGTAATGATTATTAGCATTCAGGCTAGTAGTTTTACTCAGCAAAAATTTATCTTTGTAAAGTTGAACGACGAAGAGATCCCTCATCGTCCGCAATGGGTTAGATTTAACTTGAGTGGAACTTTCATGAACTAATGTGAATACACTCGTTCATGTGATTCTGCTTGTTATACGCGCTGATATATGGACATACACATACGTACATGTATACGTATATTTGTAGATGCATGTGTATACATGAACGTGTACATGTGCGCTTGTACATGTGTACACAAAGGTGTGAGTATATTTCTGTGCATATCGTTTCTATACATCTATATGCACATATATATCCATCCATGTCCATATATATATGCATATATATGCATACATGTATGTAAATATGCGTGCTGATTACATTCATTCATTCAAATGCATGGACATTTACTAATTACCAGTTTCACACGGTGTTTTAGTAATCTACGTCTCCAGAAGCGGCTTGCCGCGTCTGTTCTCAAATGTGGTAAGAACAAAATTTGGCTCGATCCTAATGAAGTGAATGAGATCTCTAACGCAAACTCAAGACAAAACGTCCGAC